GGGCTCAGTATCATGTCAGACTGGCTCTGGGGCCCATCTGGGGCCCATCCTGAGCACAGAGCTGCAGCAGAGAACAGCTTCCTTCATGCATGGAGAAAGAGGCTCAGTGTGCAGAGCAGAAACACTGCTGATCTGTTTCAGAGCCGCCCGGCTGACAGACATGTTCACACATGCAGATCTGTCCCCAGCGCTGCCCTGCAAACATCTCCAGGCCTGCAGAGGCTAAATATATCCCAGCGGCCCTGTGTGGACCTCCTCTGTTTGCTCCTTCTGCTCCTTCACCTGTAGGCCATCCGTCAGCTCTCAGTCAGGCCACCGTTGGCCGCCGCCGCCGCCGCGTTCTGATTGGTCCACAGTCAAATGGACAGTTGGTGACCAGTTCTTATTAACCCTACAGTTATTGTTAAAGATAATCAATGAGGTTTTTATCCATCTGATCATGACAACTCCTAACTTTTCCCTCCTAACTTAATCTCAGCTGCAGGTGGTGGGAGATGAACGCAGCGCTGAGCTTTTATCCACAAGACCAACTAATGGATGCCAAAGAAACTGATCAGTCTGAATGTTTCTGAAGCAGGAAGAGATCACAGAGAGCACCATGACAGTTTGGGCTCCAGGAGGCAGCCATGACGGAGCCATTGGTATTTAGCAGAAGTTCTTGATTGGCCTGGTGGGCCTGGTAGCCTGGATGGCCTGGTAGCCAGGGTGGCCTGGTAACCAGGATGGCCTAGATGGCCTGGTAGCCAGGATGGCCTGGTAGCCAGGATGGCCTGGTAGCCAGGGTGGCCTGGTAGCCAGGGTGGCCTGGTAGCCAGGGTGGCCTGGTAGCCAGGGTGGCCTGGTAGCCAGGGTGGCCTGGTAGCCAGGGTGGCCTGGTAGCCAGGGTGGCCTGGTAGCCAGGGTGGCCTGGTAGCCAGGGTGGCCTGGTAGCCAGGGTGGCCTGGTAGCCAGGGTGGCCTAGATGGCCTGGTAGCCAGGGTGGCCTGGTAGCCTGGATGGCCTGGTAGCCAGGGTGGCCTGGTAGCCAGGGTGGCCTAGATGGCCTGGTAACCAGGATGGCCTAGATGGCCTGGTAGCCAGGATGGCCTGGTAGCCAGGATGGCCTGGTAGCCAGGGTGGCCTGGTAGCCAGGGTGGCCTGGTAGCCAGGGTGGCCTAGATGGCCTTGTAGCCAGGGTGGCCTGGTAGCCAGGGTGGCCTGGTAGCCAGGGTGGCCTGGTAGCCAGGGTGGCCTGGTAGCCAGGGTGGCCTGGTAGCCAGGGTGGCCTAGATGGCCTGGTAGCCAGGGTGGCCTGGTAGCCAGGGTGGCCTAGATGGCCTGGTAACCAGGATGGCCTGGTAGCCAGGATGGCCTGGTAGCCAGGGTGGCCTGGTAGCCAGGGTGGCCTGGTAGCCAGGGTGGCCTAGATGGCCTGGTAGCCAGGATGGCCTGGTAGCCAGGGTGGCCTGGTAGCCAGGGTGGCCTGGTAGCCAGGATGGCCTAGATGGCCTGGTAACCAGGATGGCCTGGTAGCCAGGATGGCCTGGTAGCCAGGGTGGCCTGGTAGCCAGGGTGGCCTGGTAGCCAGGGTGGCCTGGTAGCCAGGGTGGCCTGGTAGCCAGGATGGCCTAGATGGCCTGGTAACCAGGATGGCCTGGTAGCCAGGGTGGCCTGGTAGCCAGGATGGCCTGGTAGCCAGGGTGGCCTGGTAGCCAGGATGGCCTGGTAGCCAGGGTGGCCTGGTAGCCAGGGTGGCCTGGTAGCCAGGGTGGCCTGGTAGCCAGGGTGGCCTGGTAGCCAGGGTGGCCTGGTAGCCAGGATGGCCTGGTAACCAGGATGGCCTGGTAGCCAGGGTGGCCTGGTAGCCAGGGTGGCCTGGTAGCCAGGGTGGCCTGGTAGCCAGGGTGGCCTGGTAGCCAGGGTGGCCTGGTAGCCAGGGTGGCCTGGTAGCCAGGGTGGCCTAGATGGCCTGGTAACCAGGATGGCCTGGTAGCCAGGATGGCCTGGTAGCCAGGGTGGCCTGGTAGCCAGGGTGGCCTAGATGGCCTGGTAGCCAGGATGGCCTGGTAGCCAGGGTGGCCTGGTAGCCAGGGTGGCCTGGTAGCCAGGGTGGCCTGGTAGCCAGGGTGGCCTGGTAGCCAGGGTGGCCTGGGGGGCCTGGGTGGCCTGGGGGGCCTGGGTGGCCTGGTAGCCTGGATGGCCTGGGTGGCCTGGTGGCCTGGTAGCCTGGATGGCCTGGGTGGCCTGGTGGCAAGGGTGGGCTGGGTGACCAGAGTGGCTCCACTGGCAGACTTAAAAAAGATAAAAAAAAGAGAGCGAGACGCAGCCAGCAGGCCAATCCCAGGCCGGCACTCCGGGATAATCCCAGTTCTCCCTCTGGCCTGTCTGGGTCGGCTCTGCAGGGAGCTCCAAGGCTGACGGCAGTTTGTCCAACGGGTCTATATGTGCGTTGTGGACCAGGAGAAGGAATCTGACCGTGTCCCTCGTGAGGCCCTAAGGGGGGCCCTTCACTAGGGGCGCAGCAGGAGTCGGGGCCACATGGCCGGCCTTTAGTCAGACCTGTTTTGGTGAACAGAGGTGGAAGATGTGGAGCATCAAGTCATCTCTGTTTGTTCTGATCAGTGATCAAATTATGCAGATTCAGTAACCGGGCAGAACGAACACATGGAGATGACTTCATGGCTGGATGGGTGCTGAGGGGGCGGAGCCAACAGAAACCCACCTTGTGATTGGTGTAATAAAGTCCAGCCATGATGTCAGAGGATGGAACCGGGATCAGCTGCAGGTCTGTTCCTCCAAACATGATCAGAACTTCATCTTCTTCAGATCCAAAGCATTCAGTCTCTGAGTGAGCAGCAGATTCTGCAGAACCTGCTGGGATGTTTGTCCCAGTCTGGAGGCGCCAGGAGCAGCAAGAACACGCAGATAAAACATCTCAGGATCGGGTTTCAGCCCTGATCACCATCATGACTTTGACTCCATTTAAGGAGAGTCGTTCAGGGAAATGCTGGAAAAGCTGTTTCTGATGAACTTTGTTGTTGTTGGTCTGGAACCAGAATGAAATGCCTGCTAGGCATGAAATGTTCATTAAACAGCTGGTCTGTGTCCAGTCAGGCCCATAAAACCCAGCAGCAGGGGGGGGGGTCTGTTATAATGCATGCAAAGACAGACTGAAGGATCTGGACTCAGACTCACTGTTAAAAGGAGGGAGGATCTATGCTACTAGATCTATGCTGGGAGAACCAAAGATGGCGCCTTTAAAATAACATTTATTTCAAAATGGAACTTTAAGTTTATTATTTCTAATATTTTAGGGTAAATGTACATTTTACTTCCGATTTTATTTTTCAGTTTATATTCTTTCAAATGTTTTTTTTTTTACATTCTATCTTTTCAATTTCATTTTTTGTAAAGAATTCTTCTCCAATCAAAAGCTACCCTCTGCCCAGGACCTCATCTGTTGTTCCCTAGAAGCAATCATCCATTCTATCAGGCTGCACCATTCTATATTCTGCAGCTCTACAATTCTAGATGCCAGAACTCTGGGTCCCTCCCCCTACAGCTGGCATGCGGGGATCCAGGGGCCTCTGGTTCATTGGTCGGTCCAAAGAAAGACCAGTCAGTGACTGTGAGATGGAAGTGGCAGCCTTATATGGGGGTGGTCATTATGTAGCGCACTGACAGGCGGACTGCATCTGGTTTATGAGGATCTGTGAGGATCATCTAGTGAAGTTAGGAAGGTTTGTTGAATCTAATTCAGGACATTATGAACCTGTTGCTGCATGAGGCCCAATGAGAACGCAGGAAACCTTCCCCTCCAACAAATACATTAAAGGAATAGTACACCCAAAACATGATTAGCCTTCATTTTCTACTCCCCCCCATGCTGAACAACACTCTGGAGTACTTTTTTGATATCTCAAATGCATCTGGAGATCTGGGAGGCTTCTTGCTGTCTGCTGACATTCAAATAATGGAGGTCTATGGCGCCCGAGGCAGATAGGTCCATAAAAGTCCACAAAAAACGTGTCAATATTCCTCCATACTGCTCGTCCAATGTATTCCAAGTGTCCTGAGTGGGTAGCATCCAGAATTTACTCGAAACGAAGTCATTTAGAATGTTTTTAGAGCATAAACAGTAGTGTATAGGATTTCCTGAAAGCGCGTTCACGAGTCTACGGAAACCGCGGCAGACCAAACCAGATGAAAGTGCGCATTCAGCTCGGCAAAGAACTCATGCTCTTCCTCAACACTGAAGTCCTCAGACATTTTTCTTTCGTTGTTTCTTTCTTTGCACAGGTAAACAGCACGTTTCTTCTTCTACGCTTGCATTATCGGCAGAGCAGACGCTGAATGCGCACTTTCATCCGGTTTGGTCTGCCGGCTTCCGTAGCGTCGTGTGCGCGCTTTCAGGAAATCCTATACACTACTGTTTATGCTCTAAAAACATTCTAAATTACTTCGTTTCGAGTAAATTCTGGACGCTACCCACTCAGGACACTTGGAATACATTGGACGAGCAGTGTGGAGGAATATTGACACGTTTTTTGTGGACTTTTATGGACCTTTCTGTCTCGGGCACCATAGACCTCCATTATTTGAATGTCAGCAGACAGCAAGAAGCCTCCCAGATCTCCAGATGCATTTGAGATATCAAAAAATTACTCCAGAGTGTTGTTCAGCATGGGGGTGAGTAGAAAATGAAGGCTAATCATGTTTTGGGTGTACTATTCCTTTAAAACAGAGAACAATATAACCTCAAACAAAAACAATCAGTGAAAATATAATTTTCTCCTTAAATACAAATTACTCTAAAATATTTTGAAAAAGTTCACTTTTTAATATGCATTTTTTTATTTCCTTTTATGAAACATGTTTATGGCTTTTAATGATATTAGAACAGATTTCCCTCCATAGTCCTGGATCCTGGAAAAGGATCCTGGAAAAAGATCCTGGAGTCAAACTCCGCCCAATGACTAAAGTCAAAGTGGTGAAAAAAGGCTGCAGTCATGTTGACAGGTATTAAATAAATAGCCAAACCGCTTGCCATACAATGAGCGCATACAGGCTCTAGCTGTGCAGCAGAGTGGGAGTTCTGGGAGTTCTGGGAATTCTGGATCAGCTTCCTTCAGTCTTTCACGCCCAGTTTGGACCGAGGAGCAGGAGAACAGCTGAGAGGAGCAGCCGCTCCCAGGCTGGAGGAGGACCGCTACCCAACTCCTCAGCGCCGCGGATCATGCGCCTCGGGTCGGACTGAAGCATGTTCCTGCCGGGGCTCTTCCTCCTCTTCCTCCTCTCCGGTCCTACGGCGTGGGGCGTTCACGTGTCCTGGGAAAACTGGAGGTCTGCGCAGCTGAACAGCGGGGCTGAGTTCGAGCCGCCTGCCTCCAAGCCGCACATCGTCTTCATCCTGGTGGACGATCAGGGCTTCCGGGATGTGGGCTACCACGGGTCCGAGATCAAAACCCCGAATCTGGACCGACTGGCGGCGCAGGGAGTCAAGCTGGAGAACTACTACGTTCAGCCGCTGTGCAGCCCGTCCAGGAGCCAGCTGATGACCGGCAGGTAGGACACACCTGGAGGCCAGCGGCTTCCTGAGCAGGTCTCAGGTCTAAGATCAGGTCTAAGCTCAGGTCTAAGATCAGGTCTCAGATTAGATCAGGTCTCAGATTAGATCAGGACAGTTTGATTTCAATTCTATTCAAGTTATTTCTATAGCCCCACATCATGACATCTCAGGTGAGTTTATAGATCTAGATCAACCAGATTATCCACTCAGAAAGGTTCAAAGTCTCTATCTGAGGAAAAGAAGCTGATGGCATCCAGCTGATCCTCTCTGAGTCTGGAGGAGGATGATGATGATGATGATGATGATGATGATGATGATGATCATGGTGATGATGATGATGATGATTGGTGATGATGATGATTATGATGGTGATGATGGTGATGGTGATTGGTGATGATGATGATTATGATGGTGATGATGGTGATGGTGATGATGATCGGTGATGATGATGATGATTGGTGATGGTGATGATGATTGGTGATGATGATTGGTGATGATGATGATTATGATGGTGATGATGGTGATGGTGATGATGATTGGTGATGATGATGATTATGATGGTGATGATGGTGATGGTGATGATGATTGGTGATGATGATGATTATGATGGTGATGATGGTGATGGTGATGATGATTGGTGATGATGATGATTATGATGGTGATGATGGTGATGATGATTGGTGATGATGATGATTATGATGGTGATGATGGTGATGATGATTGGTGATGATGACGATTATGATGGTGATGATGGTGATGGTGATGATGATTGGTGATGATGACGATTATGATGGTGATGATGGTGATGGTGATGATGATTGGTGATGATGACGATTATGATGGTGATGATGGTGATGGTGATTGGTGATGATGACGATTATGATGGTGATGATGGTGATGGTGATGATGATTGGTGATGATGGTGATGGTGATGGTGATTGGTGATGATGATGATTATGATGGTGATTGGTGATGATGATTGGTGATGATGATGATTATGATGGTGATGATGGTGATGGTGATGATGATTGGTGATGATGACGATTATGATGGTGATTGGTGATGATGATTGGTGATGATGATGATTATGATGGTGATGATGGTGATGGTGATGATGATTGGTGATGATGATGATGGTGATGGTGATGATGATTGGTGATGATGACGATTATGATGGTGATGATGGTGATGGTGATGGTGATTGGTGATGATGACGATTATGATGGTGATGATGATTGGTGATGATGATTATGATGGTGATTGGTGATGGTGATGATGATTGGTGATGATGATGATTATGATGGTGATGATGGTGATGGTGATGATGATGATTATGATGGTGATGATGGTGATGGTGATGATGATGATTATGATGGTGATGATGGTGATGGTGATGATGATTGGTGATGATGACGATTATGATGGTGATGATGGTGATGGTGATGATGATTGGTGATGATGACGATTATGATGGTGATGATGGTGATGGTGATGATGATTGGTGATGATGACGATTATGATGGTGATGATGGTGATGGTGATGGTGATTGGTGATGATGACGATTATGATGGTGATGATGGTGATGGTGATGATGATTGGTGATGATGACGATTATGATGGTGATGATGGTGATGGTGATGATGATTGGTGATGATGATGATTATGATGGTGATGATGGTGATGGTGATGGTGATTGGTGATGATGATGATTATGATGGTGATTGGTGATGATGATTGGTGATGATGATGATTATGATGGTGATGATGGTGATGGTGATGATGATTGGTGATGATGACGATTATGATGGTGATTGGTGATGGTGATGATGATTGGTGATGATGATGATTATGATGGTGATTGGTGATGGTGATGATGATTGGTGATGATGATGATTATGATGGTGATGACGGTGATGGTGATGATGATTGGTGATGATGATGATTATGATGGTGATGATGGTGATGGTGATGATGATTGGTGATGATGATGATTATGATGGTGATGATGGTGATGGTGATTGGTGATGATGACGATTATGATGGTGATGATGATTGGTGATGATGATGATTATGATGGTGATGACGGTGATGGTGATGATGATTGGTGATGATGATGATTATGATGGTGATGATGGTGATGGTGATGGTGATTGGTGATGATGACGATTATGATGGTGATGATGGTGATGGTGATGATGATTGGTGATGATGATGATTATGATGGTGATGATGGTGATGGTGATGATGATTGGTGATGATGATGATTATGATGGTGATGATGGTGATGGTGATGATGATTGGTGATGATGATGATTATGATGGTGATGGTGATGATGATGATTATGATGGTGATGATGGTGATGGTGATGATGATTGGTGATGATGATGACGATTATGATGATGATTATGATGATGATGGTGATGATGATTGGTGATGATGATGATTATGATGGTGATGATGGTGATGGTGATGATGATTGGTGATGATGATGATTATGATGGTGATGATGATGATTATGATGGTGATGATGGTGATGGTGATGATGATGGTTATGATGATGACGATTATGATGATGATTATGATGATGATGGTGATGATTGGTGATGATGATGATGATGGTTATGATGATGACGATTATGATGGTGATTGGTGATGATGATTATGATGGTGATGATGGTGATGGTGATGATGATTGGTGATGATGATGATTATGATGGTGATGATGGTGATGGTGATGATGATTGGTGATGATGATGATTATGATGGTGATGATGGTGATGGTGATGATGATTGGTGATGATGATGATTATGATGGTGATGATGGTGATGGTGATGATGATTGGTGGTGATGATGATGATTATGATGGTGATGATGGTGATGGTGATGATGATTGGTGATGATGATGATTATGATGGTGATGATGATGGTGGTGATGATTGGTGAAGATGATGGTGATGATGATGGTGGTGATGATGATGATGATGAGACGCTTCCAGCAGCAGAGCCATAGAGTTATGGATGTAGATCAGCTGCTGTCTGCTGTGCAGTAACACCAGAACCAGATCTCTGAAGGAAACCAAAGCCACATTCCTGGAGGGACGGACCCAGAAGACATCTGCAGATGTTCAGCTGGAGGGGACCGTCCAGCTCAGTCTGAAGGCTCCATCTTCTCTCCATGATCAGATATGGGATCAATCAGAGCAGAGGTTCTTCTAGAACCAGACCTGGCTTTGAACTGGACCTCTGATCCTCTGGTCTCCATCTAGAGGATCATGTGAAGACTGTGAGGACCAAAGGAAGCCATCTGTAGGATAGGCATCAGAATGTTTCTGCTGGACCCCCCCCCCCCCAGGAATGTGAAACATGTCTGAACACCCTGCGTCCTCATGGACCAGCCTCCAGCGCTCCTCCCTCTGCATGGCCTCCTACAGCGGCCTGTCCTGACATGTTCAGCCGGCCCTGTGATGGTTGCTATAGAAACCGCTGCATCTATTGTGTCTCTGTTAGAGCATGTATGCTAACAGCTGCTGCTACGGTTCCAGCTCATGTTCTGTTAGTGACAGTCGCCTCGCGTTACAGTTAGGAGCTTTCTGTTTAGGGTCCCAAGGTTTAGCGTCCTGAGGTTTAGCGTCCTGAGATTTAGCGTCCTGAGGTTTAGCGTCCTGAGGTGTAGCGTCCTGTGGTTTAGCGTCCTGAGGTTTAGCGTCCTGTGGTTTAGTCTGGTGTGCTACTGCTTGGTAGGAAAGAAAACCTGCAGCCACATGGCCCTTTCTGGAACCAGTTTGACACCCCTGTTCTAGAGGTTCCTCAGAGACCACCTAATGTCACGGAGACCAAGGAACCCAACAGGGAGGAGGTTCTGGTCCAGTCCTCCTCGACAGGAGGAGAAAATCGAGCAAGATGGCAGCAAGGAGAACCATGGTGACTCTGGAGGAGCTGCTGAGATTAGCAGACAAGCCTTTCAAAGATCTGACCTTCAGATGTTTCTACAAGAAGTTTCTCCTGAGAAAATGTTCTTCCGGTTGGTGGGAGGATGTCAGGATGTTGCCAATATAGCAAAAGAAGAACTCTACCCTTGTTAAAGCATGGAGGTGGCAGCATGATGCTGAAGGGATGCTGTTCCTCAGGTAACCTGTTCGGGAATGGATGGAGCTAAATCCTGGAGGAGTAGTTCACCTTCACAGAGCCTCTGACCGTCAGGGGCGGGGCTTCTGTGGTGCATTCAAGTACACCATGTTTAGTGGATTGCTTGTTTGTCAAATGAAAACCAAAGAGATTTGAACTTTTTATCAGTTCACAGATCCTAAGAAATGACGGTGTAAATAATTGCTGCTGTTGCTTAAAGCATGGAAACATTTAACGTTTACAGTATTAATCTTTATTTTCTAATGAGATTTATTTTCTTCTCTTAAAGGTATCAGATCCACACGGGCCTCCAGCACTCGATAATTCGAGCCACCCAGCCCAACTGTCTGCCCGTTGAAGACGTCACCCTGCCCCAGAAACTCAGAGAGGCGGGTTACTCCACCCACATGGTGGGGAAGTGGCACTTGGGTTTTTACAAACGCAGCTGCCTCCCCACCCAGCGGGGCTTCGACACTTTCTTCGGGTCCCTGCTTGGAAGCGGGGATTACTACAGCCACTACAAGTGTGAAGGCGCCGGCATGTGTGGCTATGATCTGTACGAGGGAGAGGAGGCTGCCTGGGAACAGGACCGTGGATTATACTCCACTGTGATGTTCACTCGAAAGGCCATCAACCTCTTGGCCAATCACAACCCTCACAGCCAGCCGCTGTTTCTTTATTTAGCCTACCAGGCGGTCCACTCCCCGCTGCAGGTTCCTGCTCGCTACGTGGAGCGCTACAAGGGAATCCCCAACCCCCATCGGCGTAAATACGCCGCCATGGTTTCCTGCCTGGATGAAGCTATTCACAACCTCACTCAAGCCCTGAAACATTACGGTTACTATGACAACACAGTTATAGTTTACTCCACAGACAACGGGGGCCAGCCATTGGCTGGTGGGAGCAACTGGCCCTTAAGGGGCAGTAAAGCCACTTACTGGGAGGGAGGCATCAGGGGGGTGGGTTTTGTTCACAGCCCCCTACTAGTAAAGAAAGGCTCCAAATGTCGAGGTTTGATCCACATAACTGACTGGTTTCCTACCCTGGTTACCCTCGGTGGGGGCACCTTAGATGAAGACCTCAACCTGGACGGATACGATGTTTGGGAGGCTATTAGCGAAGGTCGCCCTTCACCTCGCCTCGACATATTACACAACATCGACCCAATTTACACGAAAGCCAAAAACGGCTCCTGGAAGGCGGGATACGGGTTATGGAACACCGCCATCCAGGCTGCGCTCCGTGTCGGTCACTGGAAGCTGCTGACGGGGGTGCCGGGGTACAGCGACTGGGTGCCTCCACAGACCTTCTCCAACCAGCGGTTGACCACTCGCCATCACAATGAGCGGGTGCGCTGGGACAGGGGCAAGTCCATCTGGCTGTTCAACATCACGGCCGATCCTTACGAGCGAGTAGACCTGTCTCAGCGCTTCCCGCACATTGTGAAGAAGATGCTGATGCGACTCGTTCAGTTCAACAAGACCGCTGTGCCGGTTCGCTACCCAGCCAAAGACCTGCGCTCCAACCCCCAGTACAATGGAGGAGTGTGGGGCCCCTGGTTCAAGGACCAGAAGCAGAACTGGGAGGAGGAGGAGGATGGATACAATAACATGTTTACCAACCATCTGACTAAAAGATGGTGGAAGAACAAATCCAAGAAGAGGAAGATAAAACGCAGAGCAGAACATGGATAAAACACCTAAAACTGTCTTTGTTCAGGGAAAAAATGTGGTTCGGGACTTTCCTCAGAAACGGTCCAACTCTAGGAGACCTTAACTGGACCTCAGGTCTACCCAGACACGTTCTAAGATGTTCTAACTCTAGGAGACCTCAACTGGACCTCAGGTCTACCCAGACACGTTCTAAGATGTTCTAACTCTAGGAGACCTTAACTGGACCT